TATTATCATTAGAATACTAATTCTTTTTCTACTTAATTTTTTTTTACAAATAAAAAAAATAAGTGAAACTTCATTTTTAAAAAAAATAAATAATGAATAGACCAAGACAAATCTAAATAATACTATATAGATCCATATATAGATAAATATAAAGACACTCTAAAATACGAGTCAACTTCATAAAACTAATATAAATTTTGTAATTATAGTAAGTTGATATATGAGTACAATTATCGTATTCTCTATGAGTATACAATATTTGGACGTCTTCGTCAATATTAAATAATTTCTTAAGTTTGACTTTCCAAATATAAAAGTGGAAGACAACTTGTACCTTACTAAATAAGAAGTTATCTAACATAAAAATAAGAGACATCTACATCGAGTTTTTATATATTTGCGTAACCCAACCTTAAAATCCTCTATAATGGTAAAAAACTAAGTTATTATTTATTTATGACATCCAAATTTACTTATGAATCTCTAACCCAAGTCTTGTGATGATTTTTAATAAAGTATATTAGTAATACTTATACAAAAAATTATGTGAGTATAATAATTTATTTTGTATTTAAGCAACTTACTATATAAATTTGTCAACACATCTATAAAATCTAAAATGATCAGCCTTGTCAGTATGGTAATAATTCTTACAACATATATTTTGAAACTCCATGGTTGTGCCAATGATGTCCAAACTTGACGAGATATCCACCATATCTCCACTATTAAAAAAGTAGTTATTTTATTTTTGTCAATGTTGTTCATGTTATGGTATAAAACGTTTTCTTCCAATTGGAGATATCATGATAACTCGTATTCATCACAATATTCTATCCAATAAATTGAAATTTTGAAAGGAAGATTACAAATAATATTTGTTGTCTATTTATAGCAACAAACCGTATATAATAAATATAAATAAAGGAAACGAGCATAAAGTAATAACAAAATTAAAATACAAACCAAATGACTTTAAAGGTGTGATGCTTGCTTGATACTTGTTTA